TAAAGGGGGCCTATAGGAAAGATGGGGAAAATCTTTTTAGTAGGGCCAGCTGTGACAAGACAAGGGGTAATGGTTTTAAACTAAACCAGGTAGGTTTAGACTAGATATAAGGAAGGAGTTCTTTACAATGAGGGTGGTGAAACACTGGAACAGGTTGCCCAGAGAGGTGGTGGAGGCCCCATCCCTGGAATCATTCAAGGCCAGGTTGGACGGGGCTCTGAGCAGCCTGATCTAGTTAGCGGTGTCCCTGCTCCTGCGGGGGGGTTGGACTAGATGACCTCTAGGGGTCCCTTCCAACCCAAACCATTCTATGATTCTATGATTCTATGGTTTAGTGGTGGGATGGCAGTGTTAGGTTAACGGTTGGATTTGATGATCTGAAAGGTCTTTTCTAACCTAAATGATTCTATGGTTCTATGATTCTATACTGAAAGAGCTGGAGCTTCAGTGGGGTGTGGGGAGAAGTCAGGGCAGTCTCCATTTTCTCCAGCAGGCCATCAAGGGGAATCTGTCACTGGGGCTTCTCTCAATAGCACTCAGGATTTATAGCAGACAACATTGTTCACTTTGCTTCTTACCAGATGGCCAGGAGTAGGTGAGATCATCACGGCATACCTCAGGTCTAGGTCACTTATGTTCACAGAGATTTGGTTGCAAAGACTAATGGGAGTCCTACACAGAAGCTGCAGAGCCCCAAACAGAACTGAGTTGTCAGAGGTACCTGCTTGCTCTTGGCTAACGAGGCTTGACAGTCCACGTGATCTTCCACTGCACAGCTGTAGCTGTTCTGCAGCACATCCTCCATTAGAAACTGCATTGCCACCACCTCCCCATGAGCAACTCTTTGGTCTGCATCACTCAGGCTGCACAGGCACAGCTGAAGAGGAAGGGAGAGTCTCTGAAGGTCTGCTGCTCAGAGCTTAACAAGTAATAGCAAATCTCAGATAACTGTCAGCACAGGGCTTTTTGTGTTATCAACACAAGCGGACTTCAGGCTTTTAGCACCATGGTCCTAAAACACATATGCCCCTGCATAAAATTATTTGATACTCTAGTTCTAGCACGCTAGGAAAATGATAAGTATAGATTCATTATCAAAAATAATGCTCTGCTCTGCCTGGAGAAAGATCAATTGTGAAGTAAAGGTTAAAACGGGCTTTTGGACAGAAAAGGGGGAGATGTTTTTTGTTCAATTCTGTTCTATGAAAACCAAAGACAGGAAATGAGATAATGTTAGTTTGTTTTCCTCCTGCATCATAGATTCATCTTGTCTTTATGTCTTTGGACATAAGCACAAGGCTGCTGTCTCACTGTACCTGCATTTCGTAATTTATATTAATTGTGTTGCTGATAGTGACTGGAAACAACCCTCCATCCATTAGGAATGTCCTCCAAGGAAAATGCACGGGTGTCTAAAAGAATAGAGAAGACTGCTCATAAATAAGAACAACATTCAGTTATGAGAGTCCCACCCAATCTGATCAAGAAAAGGCAACTCAGAGGCCAAGCTGCTATTTGGTATGTGATACACTCTGCTCTGACTTTGAGAGTAGGCCACGTACTAGAAAAGAGAGAAGCATCTATTATCACTCCTTGGGAAAGAAGCAATAAGATTCATTCCAGAATACATTTCCTACCAAGATGCTGTGCTACTTCTGCCTCCACAGAATAGCTCCCAGGTCCTTACCTCTCTACCGTCAATCATTTATTGCTGGTCCTATCTTGAAGGCATCAGGACACCTTATTTATCAAAGACATCCAGATTTTGCATGCCAGTACAAGCTCTGTTTCTCAGTTATGCTAAGGAGGTCCTGTGTGTCGTTGTAACCTAAACCAAGGCAGGGTGGCAGAAAGTTGTATTCCTATAACTCATTGTTTGGGAAAGGCATTATGAAAGGTGAAACAATTGTATCTGATACTGGATAATTAGCAGGATGGGATGAAAATGAGGAAACATGAAGTTATTCAAAACTGCCTATAACCTTGGAACATGGTAGTATCACCAGCAAGACTTATCTTTTCTTCCCCTAACATGACACCAGCTTTTTTTTGCCATGTCATTCAAGGTGCTTCTTCATTAGCACATAGGTATCTCATTTGGCATTCTGCAACGCTGTGTGATGCTATAGCTAAGAAACCACTAGACCTAAATATCTTGCACATAACCATGACAGACACATTGGGCAATCAAAACTGCTGCCAGGTGATGAGAGAGCTCAGAAGGGTAATTACCCAAAACTGAAAGTTAGTTCAACATCAACATCTATCATGCAGAATAATTTCGTTTTGCTGACATCGGTGTGATTACCTTCCATCTCAAATTTTTATTATTCACTTCTGTAGAGAACATTTTCTAGAATTCCTGATGGTGAATCAAGTTAATAAGCTGTACTCATGGGGATTTTTTTTAATTAGCTATTAGCAGTTAGCTTCTTTGCACCATGCTAGGGAAGGAGTAAGCATCCCAGCAAAAAGCCGCAGAGGACTTTGTTCGCCAAAGAGCTCAGTGCAAGCAGAGGAAGGGGGCCTCTGAGGGTACACTGTACTCACCCTGCAGCTTTGGGGAGCCAGAAGCCGTGGGAGCCTTAGCTGTGAAGCAAACGCCCTCGGAACCGCAGAGTTACTCAATGGAGGCAGCGCGTGGTGTGTTGTGTCTGCAACACTCCGGTGGGCTGAAACATTCCCTGAGGACAAAAATGTCTCCCTGAAAAGGAAACAAAATGTTTGTATTAAAAAGAAGTAAGATGACTTCAAAATTCTCCAAATGATCTATGATAAAGTTACCTGCTCCTCGTTATAACCCAACAGGGCAGCGAGTGAGAGGGATACCAGCAGATATGATGATTGGCACGAATAGGCAAAAATGTTAATGATGTAGATGCATGTGTGAAAGTACACCTGACTGGGGGCATTTACAGCAAAACATATGTCCGTGCTAACGGAGGGGGTTGCTTGGGTAGCTGATAAACTGGATAATAACTCAGAAGCTCTACTACCTCTTATTCCTGTTATTAGGATAATCGCCTATAGAAAGTGGGAGAGCCACTAAAGCTTTTTGAAGTTTTCAAAAGTGCTTGGGAAGCTTTGGAACCTAAATGACAGGATATTTGGAATCCAGAGCTATGTTTAGCAATGGCACTCCCCACAGGTTTTTATGAGACCTGGTCTCACCTAGCAAATGCGCCTGGTGTCACACAGCAATGGAGATGACACCAGAGCCCAGCCAAACCCACACAGTGCCATTCCAACACAGGGGTACAGCGCTTTGGGGACCCAGCTGGCTCCTCCTGCTTGGGTTGCAACTGTGCTGTTCAATCACACACATAAAGGTACCTTTTAGCACGCTCTATGCATCGTGTAAATATATTACCCAACCAAGCTTAGACATAACTTTGTTGTTTCATTGCAGCCTGTCACATTCAATTCTCCTGTACTTCTTTCACGTGTTTTTTTAAAACAAAGAGCTCCTGTTCAACCAGTTCTTGCAATATAAGAAACAATCCAGACTGCAACTCTTTCTGTAGCTGCCCATCCTCCTCTGAATGGCAACTCTAAGACAAACGGATCTTGACCTTTTGTTTTTGTCAAACACACACAAGCGCTTTTAAGAATGACACGCATTTGGTATCGGTTGCAGGACTGACAAAGGAATTACAGGGATGAATAACAGCTTCCAGGACCGAACTTGGCAGAGAAGTTCAGAAGAGATTAAATGTGATTTAGTGTCACACTGTAAGCCCTGGTGTGGAGAAAATGGAAACTAATTGCATTGGCAATGAGAAACAAGAAAGATGAAGCATCTGACATACTGCATTTCTCCTTACTCCCTCTTAGCACACAGTTCCTTATTGGGGTAAAACGTTTCCCTCACCAATTGCCCCAACAGTATTTTAACCAGGAAAAAACAGAAATAAAGGCACAAGGTAGTTTTATCTTCTTGTGAGTCCCCAGAAAAATCTTTAGTCTGCAAATAGGTACAATCACAAC